GTCGAAAATTCCGGTAAAGGAGAAGGCGAATGACGGAAAAAAACTGACAGAGAGAAAAAATGGTAGAGAGAAATATGCAAAAATATAAGATTTTCATAGAGAACGAAACGTGGAAAATGACAATGATGGCTGTGGTTGAATGGGTGGGAAGAAGCATATGACTTGTGAGCCACCTCACGAATCCTCTATTTCACCTCGAAGACGGAGCCCTAATTAGGCTCGCAATGGTAAAGGATTAAATGAAATTCGAGCTTGATATTGTACCATATTATTATTTCAAGCGGGGCCTTCTATATTCTATTCACCATAGCAACGAGCAAGATTTGTACTGTAGAAAGAGTAAAGTTAAAATATTCTTGAGAAGTGTACGAAGAGCGGTAAAATTTACTTAGACAAACTTTTCATCAGATTCGGGGAAATAACTGCGAATTGGAAGAAGAAGTAAACGATAATGTAAAACATAGAGATTCTTTAAATGATTCATCTGGTATCACCTTCTTCCCATCGATTTACAAAAGTTTTGATTAAAAACACTTTTCACTTTCACACACTATCTGCTATGTGGAACAAACAGAAAATAGAGTTTGAAAAAGTCGAATTANGTTCGATTTACAACAATTTGGGCACCTCGCGAATTTGATTCCTGCTACGGACAACGTTAAACTTGAGAACGATGAAGAACGGGCACAGCTTNAAAAATTATGATTCATTTGACAAGTCTGATCCCTAGAGGTTCACTATGAAGGTGTTAACTTAAGCACTAAATTGCAAAATTATGGGATTACGGTATCATCAATATCAAGATTGAGACATTGTAAATGCTCTAATAGAAGCCCACCCTATACGTTCACTTTGACCTCAATTATCCCGGTTCCTTCAAAAGATATCAAAAATATTCCAACTGATATATTATCTTCCTAATATATAAAACGCTACACGCGTCTGTTCGACCTCATTTCAAGCTGTGGACTTTTGAAAAACTTGAAAAATAAATATAGATTTACGGGACCCTTCAAGAAAAAGTGAAGAGCTAATCTACAAACCAGTAAAAAAGTAGATTGAATCCCGCCGAAGGCGCACCAGCTTTCTGGTTCATCATAATATCATAAATATTTTATCCGTGGACTGATTTTTTATATATCTCACTTGAACCGAGATAATTGGGCTTCTATTAGAGAAATTACGATAGAGGGATTTAGTAAAGACATATATTCTCAGAATTCTTGTCTAGACAGACTAGCATTCAAAATTGAATATGAGGTGCAAGCAAGCAATGTTTCTTTTCGTTTAGAGGTCACTCCCCAAATGTTCAAAACACAATGTTGATACAGTGTTCGAAATAGAGAGGGACACTGTCTGATAGTGAAAATAGTCTATGAGAAAGAGAATGACAGACACTATTCCGAAAAAAACAAAAACAATTGCGGGGGATGAATAATATCAACTATTCCAAAATTCTGATGGGAAAGTACTATTCTTTTTTGCATAAATTTTGAAATTTCCTATAATCGAATCATTTCTTCGCTAGAATACCATAGCTCAAATATCTCGAGATAATATCAAAGGTTCCTTCAAGAGATATCAGAAAATCGTTCAATTGATGAAATGCTGGTGATATTATGATAAATAGTTTTTTAGTTAACAAACTCTTAATAGCTTTTACAGAAATCGATATAATTGTGCTCAAAGTCCACATACAGGGTGGGTTACCAGTAGAGCAACTAGATACTTCCGAATTCAATCATTTTTTATCTGTGAATCCAACCAAATCATTGAAAAGAAAATAAAATAGGCTAACAGCTGGTTGCACTTTTAGAATATACAGTGTGCGAGAGAATCGAACGTTTCGTTTCCATTTCCAATTAATTGTTTCTTTTATCTTTTTCACGCATTTTTTATTTTACCTACAAAGCTTCTTCGCCTGATAACTTTTTTCAAAAAGAGTAAACTCTCACAGACTTGTGCAAACTTCATCCAAAACATGACCCTTTTGTATTTGCATTCATTTCATAGTCCCCTCTCTCTCTCTCTCCACTTTTTATGATTGCAAAGACATAAATGATGTACAAAAAAGTGTGAATCCTCCGTTGTTTTGAAACTGTTTTTGATGGTCTTCTTTTCCTCTTTGATCTCTTTGTTCTTTCATTTGAATTTGTTTACAGAAAACTGTTCCATTTCAAGCATGAATCCACTTGACCAGTCTCATGCGAACCATTTTAACTCAAGTAAGATTTCAGCCTAAAATTACCGGAAACACTTTGATAAGAAGGCCACCCAAGCTGTCAACTTTGAGACCATGAATCCCGGTTCCTGTGACAGATATAAAAAAGTGGTCAACTGACAAAATGTTTATCATAATATCAAAGATATTTTGTCAGTTGACCACTTTTCGATATCTTCCACAACAGCCAAGATATATAGACTCAAAATTGACGGTCTGGGGTGCATTCTATTAGAGGGTTTACTGTACTAGCAAATTTTCGGCACGCTGGGGCACAGAGGGGCACAGGATTTGCTTCAAAACGGCACAGTGCCGCGTTTAAAGTGCCCTTGGAACACCTCAACCGTGCCCCTAAGGCGTTTCAAATCTAAACAAAAGCCGTTTCAAATCTAAACAAACAGTATAACAAAATAACAATATAACAAAAATCAGAGGCACAATGACAGCAATTTCTTAACGTTAGATTCGAACATGTTCTGAATTGCACCCATACTAAGATGCGCAACCGAGCCAAGAAACATGGTAATCACTCCAAATCGAACCGACGATGGATCGAAAGCAAGAGTTTCCCTATGAAGGTTTTGAAGAGCATCATTCAAATCCAAAAGGTATGCGTATTTGCCTTCATTTGTCGCTGAAAATGATAAAGTTACAATGTTGGAGAGTTCCTCATGAAGATCCAGAAGATGTGCGCCGTTTTCACAAATTGTGATTATGAGAATTCGTATCCATTGGCTGTGAACCAGCTCAAGCTGGAAGAAGAAATTTTAGATAGAATAATAGCTACACCGTTTACTTTCTGGTCTTCCTCGAGAACATCAAACATCTCGATACCTTTTGGCCATCTCAAAATGTCTTTAATAAAGCTGGCGGTTACCTGTTTGATGTTCAGAAACTGGAAATATGATAATTTTTTGGAAACGGTTATCAGACCACGCACTACCTGAATTTCGGGATTGGATCCTGATATGATTGATATTTTCTTCATAAAGAGATCATTCTCCGTTGCTTGTTGCACCTTCAGAATAGGCGTTTTAAATACCGGGTCATGTGGGCGTCGGCCTGAAAATTGGGATTTGGCCATTGTTTCTTTTTCATGATGAAGCTTTACAGTTGTCCACCAGCATGAATTCGCGGCACTTTTTCATTCGACAAGCTCTACAGTTTTCGGACAAATGGCTGATTTCGCATGTTCCAGAAAACTGACATTTGAAGATTCGGTTTTGACGAAGAGATCTTCGAAAGAAATCTCTACAGCTCTTGCAGACTGGCTCGCCTAAAAGTAGTTGGGATTTACAATATATCATTTCATAATTTACCGTTTTTGCTCTTACAAAAAGCTCCACAAATATTACAAATGACAGGTGGGAAAAATTGAGTCGGAACCGTTTGTGGGGCTTGTTGAACTTCAGAACTAGATGAACCAGAGCAAGTTCTTTGTACGAGTACATCTTGAATGGATGATCCTTGCAAATCAACCTCCTTCAATCTCGGGTTCAGTTGTACTGCAGAATTGGACGAGGTGGCAGAAGTCATTTTTGCAAGAATGGCTGGAATAGTTAAGGATTCGCTAACACAATATCTATGTATGGTTATTTACCTTGGAGATCAAATGTTGTCATGCTGGGGAAAATTTTGGGATAAGATTGTGCTAGGGCTGAAAAAAAGTGGTTATTACTCAGAAAATTTTTGGCACATGTGCCGCTACTTGGGGCACCGGTGCCGCTGCAACGCGGTATTCGTGCCCGGGGGGTCGGGGCACGCATGCGTTTTGCGTGCCGTTGCCGTGCCGTTGCCGTGCTCATGAATGATGCTCGCTTTCGATCCATCGTCGGTTCGATTTGGAGTGATTACCATGTTTCTTGGCTCGGTTGCGCATCTTAGTATGGGTGCAATTCAGAACATGTTCGAATCTAACGTTAAGAAATTGCTGTCATTGTGCCTCTGATTTTTGTTATATTGTTATTTTGTTATACTGTTTGTTTAGATTTGAAACGGCTTTTATCAATTTTATAGTTAAAAACGTTGTTGGTAAAACTCAAAAGTTGATTTTGGAGGCATCGAGACAAGGTGGGATACATTAAAATTGGAGTTCCAAATCTCAGAAATGTTCACTTTGCAACTTGAGCGTTCTCCAGAATTTGAACAACGTCGATAGCATGTCTAGTCTGAAAAAAAACATACCCCGCCAGTTTGAATTTCCAAATGGAATGAACCATTTCTAAAAACGGCCCACAGGGTTCGATCTGCTGTGGTATGTAGATGCGCTCTAATTAGAACCTGGCACGCACTCTTCTCATTAGAGTACCACCGCATACCACTGCAGTTTGAGCCCTGTGTTAAATTGATAAATAAGAGTCTCACAAAACGATTTTCAAATTTTCAAGTTTTTTAATACTCGCCTCCACCTCGGCAATCAATTTCTTCAGAAGATGGATCATCCCTTCCTAGAAGAAAATCTTTCAATTAAAAAGTTTTATCATCAGTATCTTTACCTCCCCTTTAATGCAATCCTCCAAATGATTTCCTCGCTGATTCTGAAATTCGTACTGTTTCAAGATTAGAATAACCCAATTCACCTCCTTCTGCAATTCACGAGTCAGTTGGTCGATCGATTTCTGCTAAACTCAAAAAATATCAATAAATCTGCATCATTATTCAGGTATTTTTCTGCAGGTTTCCCTCTCCAACTTTTGCTGGATTGGCAGCTCATTGCCTGCCCCTAAATGGACTGTCGACCCTGCAAAAATTGGCAGAAAAATCAGTCATTTTGCTGGGCAACCTGCGGAAAATTACGAAAAGATTTTCCATAGCTTACCATTACTTTTCGTTCCCATTCCATTCGGGTTTTATGATCCATTTGAACTGTACCGATCAGAAATAAGGGCTATCTTTTGAGGTTTTGAAACTGATTCTCAACAGAGTTCGATAGAAAAAAGAGAAATCGAAGAGGAGCGGAGTTTGGCAGATGTTCGAAATCGCCCTACGAGAGCACAGCTGCATTTTCCCACCGATGGAATTTTTACCATGGCTCTCAAGTTAGAGAAAGAAAGACATTGAACAAATTGAAATTCATCAGGTAGTTTCTTTCTGTTCGAAGATTTTAAGAAACAATGAAAAGTACAGATATTAACACATTTATTTGGAGCTATTAGGTTGGCAGGAAAGTAACTGTCCATTTTTTTATTAGTAAATAACACAAACACAAGAATAATCCAGAATTAGCAATATAGTGATCCACAACAGGTTGGCAATGTTCAGGTAACTTGTGGATACCATCCCTCCAAAAGCCAGCTAGTGGCAAATCAAAGTATCCCTCCAGTCCATTTTTTCAGGCATCAAGTGTGTTAAAGTCCTTAAGCTCCAGATGACGTCGGATACTTTTGAATAACCAACGATCTGATAGAGCTGAATCAAGTCTTTAACGGGGGTAAAGGAGAACCGTCCAGCCAAAGCGGCTCAGGTACGGCGTGACTTTCCGTGAACATGAGGTTTTTTCATTTTTTACCTGTAGTCAAGTCAGACCTGAGCCGCTTCAGTGGGACCGTTCTCCCTCACCTACTTATAGTCCCGACTGAGCTCTATCAGATTATTGGATATTCGGAGAGATACAACCTCATCTAGAGAATACGAAAATTTGCACCGTTTATGTGAAAAACAGGAAAAAATGAATACATTGTATCCACAAGTTATCAGAACATTGCCAACATGTCGTGGACCACGACGGTGCATACTGCTAATCTTGGATTAATCCTGCTTTTGTATTATTCACATATAAAACAAGGGACATTTACTTTCCTGCCAACCTAATACAAGGCCTCATTATTCAAACAATTTATCAGTTGACGTTCTTCTTCTTTGAATCTTCCTGAAAATTGGAAACTTAAACCAACCAATTGGCATCTATCGCTCACCTCGATGCTCTCCAAGAATGAGATTTTGGAAAAGATTATCTTCTCCTTATTATGTCGCTCCTGGTCCTCTGTCAACTTGTTCTCCAGGTATTGCCTCTCCTCCGTCTACAAAATGTATTACAATTGACATTCATTCAAAATGTCACTGATACCTGACTTGCCAGGCAGCACTGGAGCATATTGTTCTGGGTTTTCTGTAATTTAAAATATTTTTCAAAGAAATACATTTCTTTTATGCTACCTTTGCGGTTAAAAGGCGATTGAGTTGCATTATTTTTTGATTCATAGCATTTCTTTGCTCATCGAGTTCCTTCTTCTGCCGGTCACGAAGTTCTTCCAGCCCAATTGGAGAAAGAGACGTCTGAAATAGTTCCGAAATGGGCTGGAAGGAGAATGTGTTACTTACCATAACTGCTTTGACCTGGCTTGGTATAATTAGAGACCCACAAACACAAATTCAGCTGATTAGAACCAAATCCAAGGAAATCTTGAATCCTAAACTTTCCGTAAACACTCTGATGGACGGCCACCGTATACTTACATTTTGAGCTCAATTATCTCAGTTTCTATAGAAGATATCGAAACACTGTCAACTTATAAATTGTTCATCATACTACTGTAAATGTTTAATCAGTTGACCATTTTTTGTTATCTCTAATAGAAATTTAGATAATTGAGCTCAAAGTTCCAGTAAAGGGTTCCTTCTATTAGAGTTTTTAATTCAAATCGATAATTAAACCATAATTTTAATTTTTAGAAACTATAAAACTGTAAATTTTTAGGTACTAAACCTTTTTGGGTTTATAATGAACACATATTTGCAGCGACCACCCAAAAAAAAAGCATTCATCGACAGATGTTCTGATCCCTCCGTGTCCTTCTCGGTGCACAGATATTCTCCTCTTTTTTCTGCTCAATGCGAATATTTTTTGTCTATTCTATCTGAATTCATTTGAAGCACAACGGATTAAGAGAATAGATAATCCGTCTTCGGCTATTTTACACTTTCACATTTTGTAATCGGTTGAATCTTCTTGGTCTCTGTTTGATTTCCGGATGAGGTGGCTATTTTGTGTCCCTGATAGTGTCTTCTTGATTACTTAATTATCTTGTTATTCATTTCGGTTGTTCCCACATTTGCCCTAGCTCCACAGGGTGTACTCTAATGAGAAAGATGCGTGTCAGCTGAAAAGATAATTGCTCTCGGTGCATCTCCTTATATTGAGCTGACAATCAGAAAGTATTATCTCGTTCCCAATTTCCTTTTCCATCGACCCAAGACTTTTCCACGCCCCTTCTCATTAGAGCGTATCCATACCACAGTAGATCAACTTCTGTGCAGTTCACCCCCTTTGAACCCAAACTCTTTTTCTGAAAAAAAACTCATTATCTTAATCAGGCTATTCCCCACACTCACCCCTTCCTAGGATGAGTTCGAACAGAAAAAATAGTTCAAAAGATCATGATTCCCATAATTTCCATCATTCTTGTTGCATTTCATTATATTCCATTACTCTCTTCCCATTCTCTTTTTATTACCAAACATAATTGAATAAAGACATTGGTTTGACATTTCCCAGAGAAGGGTACTGTAGAAACGTCGTAAACAAAGTAATTGTCGACTAACGGCCTAAAATGTATTTCAAAAACGAATGGTCATTTTTTGGTAGAAAGCAAACAAATGAATATAGCTTCATGTCCAATGAGAAAAAAGAGGAGGAGAGATGATGGAGAAATAACAAAACGAGTGAAAGAAAGTATTGTTTTGTTGGGGTTGACCCAGTGATAAAAAGAAAGACGTTTGCCAAGAATTATCGAAGCTATTCATATTTATATTTGCTTTTCCTTCTGTACTAGTTTTCCAACTGTTTGGGATTGTTCATTTAAAAGTGCGTCTAATAGTTCTTGCACTAATCTCTCATCAGAGAAATTCAAAAAGCTCTATGCTGGTATGAAAAACTGGAGCTATGGAAGAGAAAATCTGGGTGTTACGGCTGAACTACCGTAATAAGCCAATACTCAAAAGGACCGCAAATTTTAGGTTATGGTGATTTTCGTTACGGTAACCGTTGTCCACGCCCACAAGATGTTTCTTCCACAGCTTCGATTTTTAATGCAAGCAGAATAATTCTAAAAAAAGTTGGCCTATCTTAATGAAAGAGACTCACTGTTCTGATACTTTGGGGGTAGTGTTCTTGTGACACGCGGTGTTGTCTCTGGCAAGCTGACCGACTTCTCATGAACTAAGAGATCTGATTTTTTGATATTTTGTGACATTCTAGCCTAAAATTCCAGCGATCTCGCTTAATTTTTTCTCTTAATTTACAATTAGATCCTTACTTTTGATTTTCATGAAATGAAGCAACTTTGACAAGCTATAACTCTGTTCAAAGTTGATCAAATAATTTTAAACTTGGCCATTTTACTGACGAATTTTTATAATTTTTCCAAATTTAAGCCTAGTACAACGCTAAGATTATACAGTGAAACTACCGAAAATTATCGTAACACTCCGAACTGAAATTCTATTTTCACACAGTTCGGAGTAGTTTCTGCTTCCAAAAAAAGTGAAAAATAATGAAAACCATTTGTGCATAGTGTTTACACTATTGTCCTGTGTCTTGGTATGGGAAAATGGCAAAAAAGACATTGGAAATTGTGATGCAATTGATCACAATGCTTCTCGGTTTCTCGTCATTTCGAAGTGGAACAACAGTTTTTTTCCTTTTTGGTCTATTCAAAAAAAACTGTAGCTTTTAGTAGAAACTTATAACTGATCTGAGAAGCGCAAAAATAACTTTTTAATAACCGAAGGACATTTTAATGGCACACTTTTAGAGAAAAAAAATCACAAAGGTTATGAGAAGCGGGTCACTACAAAGGACTTTGGAACATTTTCCCAACGAATTTTTAATCGTTGCGAAAAATAAGGAACATAAGCAGAATGGTACATCTGAAGAAGAGAAGAACATGAGAAAATTGTGTTGTGTTTTGATGATCAGTATTTTTTGAGTTCGAATTTCAATCTTCTGTTACCGTATAACCTGTGTTCGTATTATCCCCACACTGTCAACTTTGAGCTCACTTACCTCATTTCCTACGCAAGATATCGAAAATGTGTCAACTGACAAAGCACTTTTGATAATGTGATAAACAGTTTATTAGTTGACAACGGACATTCTTACAGGATCCAACTGTTCCCAAAATGGTCGTCGAGACTTCTTCCTGGAAAATGGATGCCTTGTCTTTCCTCGACAACTACTATCCGGCTCCACGTGACTCACAACCATCGGTGAAGATCGCCCCATCGTTCTTTGTAGGTTTCATACGCAAGACAAAATCATTTTAAACATAGTTTTCTCAGGGCGATGTCAAAGAGCCAATTGTCGTCGTGGGCTCTCCAGGAATCGGAGTCTCCGTTCAGACTACTCTCACTGGTCCCATCCATCTTTGTCCATTCAAGGAATCGGTTGAGCTGTTCCGGAAACAACTTCAAATTCAAAAAGTAAGAGAAATTGGAAGTCAGTGAATTCTAGAAACAGCTGTCACAGTAAATAAAACAGACCCAGATTGAAAACTTTGCATTCACAGAACTTTTTGAAAATTTCTAGTTTTTCAGATATTTGCCGATTTCTGAAAAACCACTGTATATTTCCAATTTTCAGGAGAATGAAGGAGGAGCACAGAACGACATCAACAAAATCAATGCAATCACTTTCAAAAAAGTGGAGTCGCTCCTCGGAAGAAAGCTCTGCAAGGAAATGATGAGAGATAACTAATGAATAGATGTATGGCGTCGTATCGAGACAAGAGACAACGATTAAATGACAAATGATTTCTATGATCTAACAAAACCTTATACATTTTTTTTCGTAATTGCAATCTAACAATACCTTCAAGGATAAAAATAATCGAGTTCCTAATTTACCTAAACGTTGCCCTGCTTCTTCTATGGGTGAGCCTGATGTTCCCAAAACATCCAAAGGCCTCTGCAATTCCACAGATGGTTTTTTTCCCCAAATTTTTAGGAGAACATCTGTCACCTACTCGATAGTGACATTTCCCACATTTCCATTTTCCTCTTCGAAAGGAAAAAAGTCTCTATTCACTCTCTCCTATTATGTACTCAGCAAAATGTTTCTGAGTTTCTGGCAACAGTTTTTGTAACCATTTTTCCTCCTTATTTGTCTGTTTGAATGATTTTCAAAGAACATTTTCAGGTCTTCCAATCCCTAATTGTCAGAACATGTCATCTCAGAGAGTAGGTTTTTTTTTTCAATTTACGAAACTACTGTAATTAGCAAATCTTTTGAACTTTCTTAAAAATTGTCGAAAAGCGATCTAGAAAAAAGAACCGAAAATTTTAGGTTCCGGTGATTATCGTTAGGAAGAGCGTTGGCCACGCTCATAAGCTGTTCTCTTCCACAGCACTGATTTTTCTTGTGCCAGAATAAAATACAAATTGAGAAATGTTTACTACATCATTTCGTTACAGACAGTCGGCTGCCAAACGGATATTGCAGGATACAGACCAGTGCTTCCACTTGAACTTGTCCTTCAAGAATGGCGTTTGGAGGTTCTCTCGCAACCGATTGATCGTGAAATACGGAGATTAGAGGCATGTGTTATCAACGAATTCAGACAGATTATCAGGATTTTTCAGGCGGAAATCGCTGGACTGCAAGCTGGAAGACGTCGTGCTCGCAATGTGATTTTTTATCGAGTTCAACGAGAGACTCAATTTCCGATTGCCTTTATCACAAGAGAGATGTTCAATTCTCTTTCCCCACAGACCCAGGCTAGGTAATTGATGGGAGACGTTCAAGATCTTCCTATTGTAATTTTCAGACACCTCGCTCAAATCTTCCGTAGAATTATGTACTGAACTCTGATCACTCATCTCTCTACTCGTTATCCATTTCTCTTTTAATTATGTTGCTTTCTCAAACATTTCTCTAATCTCTGCACTCTCTCTTTCTATCATCCATCTGTTGCGGTATCCTTTTTGATCAAGTTGTTTATTCAAATACTTCTTTATCAGATCGTGAAAGTTTTGCAATCTACGATTTACGCTCCCTCCTCCTATTTCTGTGAACAAAGACTCATTAGCCGAATCCTCCTTCCCGCAAAAAAATAGTCTCCGCCCTTTTTTATGATGCCCTCTTGATTAATGCTCTATTTACTCAATAAAGTGTGTGCGCTGATAGTTCTTTTTTATTCTATTCTGGATTTTATGTTTTACTTCAATTTCTGTTTTCCAGAGTATGAATGTCAGTAAGGAATCTTTATCAGATGGCGAAATGACCAAATACAAAGTATGGTTTTCTTTTCCAAGACTTTAAGATTACGGTAGTTCAGTAAAATGTCCTAATTTTCAGTCTGTCGCCTGTCAGACGGACATCACCGGCCGTAAACCACGAGCTTCGCTCGCCACTGTCCTGCGTCTCGAAAAGTTGAGATACATGTGGTAGAGCTGCGTAATAGCGCTGATAAGTTCTTTTTTCTCTTCCAGAAGGAATTGGAACGTTGGAAGGACTTTCTTCGATTGGAAGAGTACAGAGAACAGCAAGAAGAAATTGAGAAGTTTGAACGCTTCTGCATTGAGTATCCGGAGGTGAGTTGATTTTTTTACACACGATGGCGCACAATTACCTGGAAGGATGAAAACGGGTATATCTTTAGACAAGAGTATCTTGGATACAAGGAAAATTGGTAGAAATATAATTTTACATTCGAAGCTACTGTAATTTTCAAAGCGATTCCTCAACTCTAGATATTGTAATGACTGTCCAAAGGTGAAATGTTTTTTGCATGTCTTTGTGATTTTCATTAGGTGAAGAAACTTTGCCAAGTGATAACCCATCTCAAAATTGATCTAATAATTTGAAACTTGGCCAGTTTACTGATGAAGTATTTAAATGTTCGCACTCGAGATTTGAACCCAGCACAACGCTATACTTAAATGTTATGCTGGTACAAACTATAATCCGGATAGTTATACGCCACGCTGTATCAAGAAGACATAGTTCCATTGAAAATCTTCAAGAAACTGCTTTCTTGAATGTTCCGGACGACCGATTGGATGAGCTTCCAGATGACGAGCAGAAGAGGTAACCCCAAAACAGTTTAATTTTTTTTCTCACGGAGTTGAATTTTTCAGACTAATTTCTCGACTTATGCGCGTCTACCGCCGCTATTTTAGATCAGATGATTTTTGATTAGATGATTGGCTTACAATAATTCAAGACTACTGACAACCCGTACTGACGTCTCCAATCAACTCATTATGAGCATATTTTCTAATTATCATCCTTCTCATGACATTTATTCTTTCAACTCTTAATTATTCCCAATTCAACTTTAAAAAAAACGAAAACATAATAAAGTTCATAACCAGCCATACTGCTGATAGTGAGTTGGATCCTTGTAATTATACAATTGAGAAGTGTCTTGAATCGATTGGTTTGAGCTTGATCCAGACCTATATGCCTCTGGAGGGAGTTCGTACTCTTGATGATGATGAGATGATGGAATCATGACAGCATGGGGGATTTCCCTGGATCCAGGCTGGAAAAGAAGAAACATTCTAGAATTCTAAACTCTCGAACTGTTACCTGTTGCTGATTCGCAAGCTTCTTCGCTTGTTTTTCAGATGAATTGAACATCTTTTGAGTCTTCGCATCAATTTCTCGTCTATCTTCTTTTCTCCAGTTCTGACACTTTATCTGGATGGTATCGTTTGACATGAACCTGCAATATCCGATTCTATTAACATACTTTGATCCCATCAGGTCCGTTTACCATCAAGTTTTTCTGACTCTTGAAGAGTGTATATTTCCGACAATACGTGCAAAAAATCTTCCCAAAGCCTTCCCGAGAGTGTCCTAGCTGGTGACTGACTATCCCAGCTTTACTTTTTGTTTTGAACAGGCACCCCTGAAAAAAAAACAATGTTGGTAAAGCTAAGCTTAATAGCTCACATTGCACTTGAAGTACTCGTCGCCAATTTCACAGTTATATGCTGTGTGAGCCTGGAACTCAGCTTCGGTTTTGAATTTGGTCAAACATTTGGCGCATTTCAAGAATTGAGAAAAACCTTGCGCTTTGGTCATAGTTGAAAAAATGAATGAATAAACTGTACGGAGGGTCTGCAGCCACAGTTTTATTATTTCGGAATCGGTATTCCATAAAAAGTGCGAATGGAGGAAAAAGGAGCGAGAAACGGTTTTTTGATTGCCGTTCCATGGGAAAACAGTTTCTAATGTAAACATACTTTTCATGCTTCTTCCTCTTTTTTATGAATATTGTTTTTCGAAGATGTTCGAAAATGAAATGGATTACTGTAGTGAGAAAATTAGAAACTAGAAACTATTGGTTACAAAAAGAAGAATATCATATTTTGTTAGTAAAAAACGGTCCATTAGATCTTCTGTGGCTCGCGTAGCGAATTTCCCGATTAGTCATAAATTTTTTGCGCATCTTAATTTTTGTGATTTGCCAATTTGTTCTACAAACTCATTTAAAAACGATATGCTGGTTGCATGAAGCCTCTATTCAGTTCCAGCCAATTTCGGCACATTTTTTATTCCAATTGATTTATCTCTTTTTTTGAATCCACACAAAACAGTATTCCTATGGATACACCCATATCTCTTTTTGGATTACCGTAAAACCTGTGATAAAAGGCCCCCTAATTTTGAACTTTGAGCCAATTTATCGCGGTTCCTGTTAAAAATAATCAAGTGATAAATTGTTTATCGTAATATCACAAACATTTTATCAGTTGATACATATTCAGTATTTTGCATAGGAGCCAAGATAAATGAGCTCAAACTTGACAGAGTGAGGGCCCTTCTATTACAGGTTTTACGGTATCTGAAACTTTTATTAAAAAATCGGGTGAGCAATTTAAAAAATCGGGTGATTAAAAAATCGGGTGAGCAAAAAACAGAGTGAGCAATTTTGGAAGAATTTTCATTGACATGCCAACTTCCGATTGGTCAAAGTTCACCTAGACTGTGATTCGTCATTGTTTAAGTCGGAGTTGACAATGTTGGAAGCAAGTGCAGGCATATGAAAAGTGCACGAAACCTTAGTTCAAGTGATCAGATCGAAACTCTGAATAATTTCCCCTTTAAAATTGCAAGCATTGTGATGAAAGCAATGGATCCATGAGGCAGCTTTCTGTGACAATTTTCCAGGTTTATTTTTTGGAAGAGAAAGTCTCACAACGAGACTTGTATCTGAAAGAAATTTTTGGATTTCTGGAATTCTGAAAACACTTTCACTGGCAGTTCCCGAACGAAATTAATGAAAATATACCATTTTTCTTACTTCGTTTTTCTGTTTGGTTTTACTGCATTTCACATGACATCTAAACTAAAAGTCACTCTCTGATAAGAGTTCCGAGTGGTCACAGATGAAGCTGATAAAGGTAAGCACACAACGCACCTTGGATTACTCGGCTTAATTGTTTCCAGTTTTTTTTTGATAAGTCCAGGAACAATTTTCTAATTGAACATTGTTTTTGCAGGCCCATTCTATTTTGAAACAAAAAACAACATCAATGTACTACCTTCCAATTGCATCGGCAGGTTTTTTACAGTTTATTACACACGTTTTCAGATCATCACTTCCATTTGGCATGGACAAAAAGTCATAGGTGTCTTTGTTTTGATATGCCACGTATCTTTTATTCCTCATCAGAGAGTTTTAGATGATGTCATTGGTTCTTTGTTCTGACTCTAAAGGCTCTGGATCTTATGTGTTCTCTCTCTGGAACCACTCGTCAGGTGGTCCCGGGAGCGGGGAAGCTCTAAAAGAGAAAGAGGCGGGACACAATATAATGGCCCACTCATCAGGCGTGGTACGAAATGATATAAATAGGGGACTGCAAACTTTCCTGCTCAGTATTCCTGAGTCAGAGGAAACTTAATGTCATCACCCTAGCTTTAGGTCTCCTGAATTCCGGTTTTGCAGGCAAAGAGTACCATATGGTTGATTTTTGACCTATATTTTGTCGTGTCCTCACCTGCAATTAGTTGTATTTGTCATTTATTTTTAAAATTTCAAAAGAGTGAGTCAATCACGTGCCGAACATCCATCCGACTCCTTCTTTTTATCAGTGGGACGCTGTTCGTTTTGTGGAATACTTTTTGGTATAAAAGAACTGCAGTATTTATTCATGTTTACCATCGTTTGACTTCTGACTTTTTAATTTGGAAGACAAGTGTTGTCAACTAGACCTTCATCTTCTGGAAATCTTCCAAAATATACCGTTGAACCTGTAATAGAAGACCCCCCTAACTTTGAACTTTGGTCCATTTTTCTCGGTTCCTGTCACAGATAGGGAAACGTTGTCAATTGATAAAATGTTTATCATAATATCAGAAGTATTTTGTCAGTTGACAACTTTTTGATATCTCACATAAGAGTTGAGATAATGGAGCTCAAACTTGGGTGCCCTTCTATTACAGGTTTACGGTACTTTTTTTTGCAGTTCAACTACTATAAAAGTTAGGATAATTTCCAGAACGAACATCACTTGCGTTGTAACGCTCTGTTTCGGAGACACTCAAGTGGATCCACTATGGATCGCAGTTGGTACCGCCCGATTCAACATGTGGAAGGGACCCGAAGGAAGTTCAAATCGGTATCTTTGGAAGAGGAATCGTTGAGGAGGTGAGCGAAACTTGTTCAAATTGTTCCAAAATGTTCAAAAGATCGAATTTTCTCTATTCAGAAACCATTGTCAGTATTTCCGGTTCAAGATCATTTCCATTTCAATTGAAAATTTGGGTTGAAAACTTTGAAAACACTTTTGTTATCATCCAACTCGTCTTTTCTTTCTTTTTCGAATGAGTTTCAATCAAGAACCACTGGTCTTGCTCACTCTTAGTTTCCGGATCTTGCCAATCTCTGTGGATCTGATACTTTGTAAAGTAGTTTCAGTGCACAGATCACTATAAACCTAAGCTCTTCCAGATAAACTCCTTTATTAATGAGAAAATTTCCTTGTTTTCCATACAAACCAAGTATTGTTCAAAAATAGAAAACAGAAAATTGGGGTTTCGGTCATTGGTCTAACATTTTTATCAGCAAAATTAATGACTCCAGAACCTCTTGACCATAAAAATTTGAGATAAGAATTTCAATTTTTTGAAAAGATTATCATTTTACCGCTCAAACTTCCGTCACTTTTCAATCATTTCAGCCTTTCTCACTCTAAAATTTTATGATTCTGGAGGGGCGGTGAAATACAGCTATAAAGCCACTATAAAACTGAGTCGAATGATACATTTTCAGCTGTCCCACATTCAATATTCCTCCTCTTTCTTCCCATGTTTAAATTCCGAGTTGGTCTTATGATTTTTCTCTCAATTATGGGATTTTTCTTTCAATTTAATCAAGGTCTCAACGGATTACAAATCTTTTGATCGAATGAAAAAAATGCTACTGTCTTCGAAACAAAAAGCTTCTCCTGCGACGTTCAGAGCCTTTCACACAGCTGCTCCCGCTCTCTGCGTCTCTCAGCTTCTCCTTGACTTTTCAAAGATGTCAGCTTTTTCTCCATGCCTGCGCCTAGTCTCAGATACTCTCTTGCACTTTTTAATGCAAAAGATTGAAAGTGCGAAAACTATTGACACAGGCCGCACAGTGGCTCTTGCCATTTTTTACTTTCGTTTTAATCATTTCTCGTTTCTTGATAATAATGTCGTTTACCATTTTTCGACGGGCGGTAAACACACATTTGCATATGTTTACAGAAGCTTGCTGGATGCCGTAAGTGAGAGGTGACAAAAAACAAAGTCTCTAATGAATCCTAAATTGAATTTTTTATAAAATCTGAAAAAAATTTTTAATTCGCCCCTGAGCATCTGGGAGCCGCTGCTTTCATTCAATAACCATCTCCCTGAATTTTGTGAACTTTCAAAAGAAGAAAAAAAATTCGAAAAAGATACAGTAACCCGAGATGGAAGAGTTTTTGAAATTTATCACAATTTCGCGAGCTTCTCGTGTACAAAATTCTTTTTGCCTCAGTTTTTTTTCGAATTTTTTTTCAGTTTTTGACATCATTTCGAAGGTCATGTACTTTTGCTTTCCAACTACTCTTGAACAAGTACTTCATTAGACCGATAGCGATCTGAAATATAGGAAATTAAGCGATTACAAAGGTGTCACAATGTTATTTTAAACACGAGTACTTCGGAAGATAGTCATCTTCTTTTGGGCTAAATTCAAACACGAAGACACTTCTTTTGAATTCCCTCTTTCTTTCCTCTCCACCCACTTTTTTCTACTTTTTTCCCTCATAAATCTTTTTTCCCTCTATAGTTCCATTGCAGCCGAAATATGTGACTCATGCGTTTCAAATATTTTCGCACTCAAATGACGAATCCCTTCGAAATTCGAAAATCGTTTCTACAAACTCCTGATGTTTACACTCTTGAATCTTACGCTCTAGATTATTTCTCTTCTCCGATTTAACACTTTCTTTTGAATTTCAGCATGAATTGGCTGAATCTAGAACCCAAGCATATCATCAACGACAACGTGTATGGCAGCGTCAAGGTGCCGTCCCCAATTGACAAAATCATTGATACTGCTGAGTTTCAACGTTTGCGTAATCTTAAACAAACTGGTCTCGTTTATCGAGTTTATCCCAATTGTGAACACTCGAGATTTGTCCACTCACTAGGGTACGTTATTCGGGGTCAGTCTTTTTTTATAAGCCATTATTTTTCAGAACTTTCTCGTTGGCTTACACATTGGTTGATAAGCTCCGACACAATCAGCCATCACTCAATATCACCCCTGCCGACATACTTGTGTCGCAGTGGCAGCGCTTCTTCACGATGTCGGACACGGTCCGTTCTCGCATCTCTTCGATGGAGAATTCGCGAAGCGCTGTGGCAGTTCTTTCAAACACGAGGATATGTCGATCCGAATTATCAGAAGTATTATGTCCAAAGATGACATCAGAGAAAGCTTCAAGGACATTCTGGGACAAGGAAAGGACTATGATGATAATGTTCAGTTCATTACTGAATTAATAAGTTCGAAACCTTTTGTAAGTACTGATCCTCTATTGAGCTCATCAACTTTCGTTTTTTTCAGGAATTCAAGAACATCGAATCCTTCGAGTCACTGTCGGACCAACAGAAAAGAAACGCAGTTAAGGAGGAATGGGTTTCGGCCGTTTCTGGAAGAGGTCCTGAGAAATCATTCCTCTATGACATTGTTTCCAACTCGGACAACGGACACGATGTGGACAAGATGGACTATTTGCTGAGAGATTCGAAGGCTTCTGGAGTTGCAATCACCTTCAGTGATCAATCCCTTAGCAGACTATTGGACCATGTCCGTGTCGTCACCGACCCAATCAGTGGATTAAAGAGAATCGGCTATTCCGAAAAATGTCAAAAAGAAGTGCAATCAATCGGAGACTCAAGACAAGAGCTTCACTCGAAAGTCTATCAGCACAAAGCTGTGAGATTTATAGAGGCATTGTAAGAGCCAACAGAGCCAAAATTTCATTAAATTATGTTTTAAGAATGGTTGATGCTCTCATCAAAGCGGGTCCTCTTCTCGAATACAAAGGATCAAATAATGATCTTTTTCCACTTTCTCGAGTCACAGAAGACGTAGAAGCTTACATCAAAACTTCCGACTTCGTTGAGCAAGAGGTAATCGGAATCGATTCTAACAGACCCATCTCACAAATTTATTCTTCCAGATTCTCAACTCATCTTCTCCAGATCGTAGAATGATCGAAGCACAGCAATCCCTTCAGAAAATTCAACGACGCGAGATAGGATGCAAAGTTGGAAGCTTTGAAATGAGCCCAAAAAACGCGACTCAGTCTGGCGGAATCGAAAACAATGAGATGGGAGCGACAGAAGTCAGTAAGAAAGTTGAAGAGAGAATGAGACAGATACTGAAAGCTATCGATGAGATCGAAGGACTTGGAGGAAAATTGGCGAACGTCAATTTTACTGTCATGGTACTTTTCAGACTATTTGAGTATTTTTTCTGATTTTTACAAATTTCAGCATTCAGTCCTAGGACGCGGACTAGACGAGAAAACTCACCCGATCGAACGACAACTATTCTACAGAGGAAAGCCCAAGGATAGTGATGGGCAACCAATGGAAGGATTTTATGTTGACGAAGATTATGTGAGTTTTTCAGCTATTGCCTCAGAATATTATATTCGTGATTTCAGGTTGTGAACAATTGTCCCCGAATGGCTACAAAATGGGAGATTTTCGTTATGGGAGACCGTTGTTTGAAGGACGAAGACAACGCTGACTTGGTCAAATACATCAGTAAAGCCCTAAGGGATGCCGGCGAAGCAGAGAAGTTCCTGACTCCAAGAAAGAGATCTCCACCACAGGAGGAGTCGCCGGATCCAAATTGCTTTGTTCCTGCAAAACGTCGTCTCTTCCCAACCAAATAATCATCAAACTTTAAATAATTAATTGAACATAAACTATGTGACATAGTCATTATATCTTCTCATATGAAATTAGAATTTTTTAATGCCTGCTCAGAATTCACCCCAATGATTTTCCCCCGAATTTTTGAATTTTCATCCATTGTTCACATATTAGCTTCTTCTAAAGAAGACCTCGGTTAGATATTCTGCATTTTTAAAATTCACGTTTTGTGCCTTTCTTTGTCTGCCGACTGCTCGAATAAAAAATAATTTAGGCAACCGATTTATTTAACAAAAAACGACATGGATGATTGATTCAATATTTCAAAAAAAAAAGGATTAAAGAATTCAAATGATGAGCTGGTCGATGGATTCCTGCAGCTTTTTCTCGCGGATTTCCAGACTCTCGATTTCAGCAGCACTGTAAATAAATACAAGTGAATTCGTTTAGTTACAAAAACACTTACTTTTTCGCAACAGCTGCAAACTTGCTTGGCTCCTCTCCAGCATTTCTCTTCTTCGGTAGAACATCAGTCATTCTATTCAATTCGTTCGAGTCAAGTGTCATCTAGAAATATGAAATTTTGATTTTGAGTTTTTGTTTCCAATTATTCAAACCTTTGGTACAAGAATGGTCATGTCAGAGAGCATTTTCTGGTGCTCTTTCAGCCGCTCAAAGATTCGAATCTCGTTATCACTGAGAGGCACATTCTCCTCGACTCGATGGAACAGAACATTAATTCCTTTTCTAGCTAACTCCATTCTCTCTTTTGTCTTGTACATTCGCGCTTTCAGCTCTTCGACAGTGTTCGTTTCCTGGAATAGAACGGTCAATATATGATTTCCTTCTTTCGGAACTAACCTCAATCAGACGTTGGTCCACACTTTGTTGCCTCTCGTCTAGACTTTGTGCACTTGTCGACAGAATAAGACATCTCTCCACAAACGCCTGTGCCAATTCAGCATGTTTCTTCATCCTCTCATCGACTGCATCGAAAAACTTGGAAGCGGCGTCAATGGCTTCTTCACAAGAAACCTTATCTGATATTCTGAAAATCACTCAAATTGGGAAAATCATTTTATGACCTAAACTTACACACAAGCTGCCAGCGGCTTCAATGCAGCTAACTGTTCTTCTAATGAACTCTTACCACTGCTCGTGGGAACATTTTGTTGCTGCTCTTTTTTAGACGGTGATTGCACATCCCAGGTGTTACTGTCAAATGTGGCCACGTTGAAAACATGAGCGGGTTGTCCATCTTTGTTCTCAAGAATAACAAGATGCATGACGTCTTCAGATTCTAACACAGTTTCTTCTTCGCTTTCTTCTGTATTCATCCCTTCTGTTAATTTGACAGCGACTGCCCGAATCGGACGAGCACCTGTCCAGCTTTTGGTATTCGAGAGCTCATTAGGAGAAATGATTGCGTTGACCAGTTCGAAGACCCGTGTATCTTGTTTGACATGAAGATCATATGAACTGTAATTTTTTCTCGATAAGTCAGGTGCTACAGTAGAACTGTAAACTCACGAGCTGGTCAATGCTTCGAACCATGACGAAATGTTAACTGCGTACAAGCAAGAAGAAGTGGCAATTTCATACCGATTCACATTTAGTTTCTTCATTCGATTGGAGACGATTTCCGGATCCCCGGATGATTGTGGGAGTCGAAGCTGATCGTTGACAAGTAATCTGAGTTTACATAACGCCTAGTTGCAGCTTGGAATGGGTCGTACTTACTGAAACTCGCCAAATTCATTTGCAAAAACTATGATATGAGTGAGAACGCCGCCGCCAGATACTAAAACGAAAACTGATGCGATTCGAGGGTTCGACGTTTGAATGTATCGAAGATCTAGAGGATCACATGGAAGCCCATCAAAACTTCAAGCCGATGAATTCGCGGACTAATACCTTCTGTGAAGCCTGAAATTTTCTGTGAAGCAAGGAAGAAAATAACAAAAAACAGCGATGCGCTTACATGAGAAGTGAACGAACGACGCGTAGAATTCAGCATCAGAGTCTACAACAATCAACGAGAAGTGAGATGATTTTGGTTGAGGAGGAATCAGATCGAACGAGACTGAAATGTTGAAACTATAGACTATTTGAACATTTTCTACTGAACGAACCGAGAGCCTTCTGAAGTCCGAACGTGTTATTTGCCACGTTTTCGTCTTGACCTTGATGGAGATAACTGCGGAAATCGACAGAAAGGAGGAGTGATTCGAATTTCATCAAGAGATTGTAGAATCTGAAATTACAAAATGAAAGAATCGGTCATGAAAAATATGGCTACCTGACACAGCTATCCGAATACAGAACTGCAACAATGTGTGTTCTGTCGCCACATTTCTCTGATAGAATACGGCATTTCAGAACTGATAGAGAAGAGTTTTGAAGAATCAAACTGTCGTGAAGAGAATAACATCTGAAAAAGTATATTGCTAAACTCATTGCTGAAGTCGGATTCTCACTCGCAGAAACATTCTGATGGTAAGCGATCTGGAGATGTGAAGAGAATCTCTGTTCCAATTCGGACGACAAATGTACTTCGAGGGCCTACGAGAATCACAAAATCTCCGTTCTTCGAGACAACGATTTCACGAATGTCAGCTTTTGGTGGAATTGGTGTGGAGAGAAGGAGAACCTGAAAGAGTAATAATAGATGAACTGCACATTTTGAATCTTAGCTCTCACCACTTCTTTCGCATATTCAACTGTTTCTCTATTGTTCGCGAATCCTAGGTAGATTTTGAGCTCATTTTTGTCGTATACAATTACGCTGGATGAATTCAGGGTAGTGATCACAGCTCGATCACTCAAAGTTTCGACCAATTGAGTGATATGCATGTCTGAAAAAGGTTATTTGACTGAAAAAGCTATCGAAAATTGATAATCAAGGTTGGAATTATTCGAAAACTCTCATTTCGAACCAGAATTTCTCTCCGTCTCTCATGTGTTAGCGTGAGAATTCTGATCTCTAACATGAGAATGGGGCACTTTTGCATTACACTCATTCTTCAGTGAGACCCCGGAAATTCCGGGGAAAAAAACTCCGGGGAAAAAAAACTCCGGAGAAAAGTGGGCGGAGCCTAAATTGCAACCCTGGCACGGTTTTGCCGCATGGTTTTTTAGCACATTTGGATGCGGTCATGAGAAATTTAGGCTCCGCCCTC